ATTCCTCAGTTGATGGACATCTAGGTTGTTTCCATGTTTTGGCTATTGTAAATAGTGCTGCGATGAACATCGGCGTGCATATATCTGTTCTTGTCATGGCTCTCACTTCTCTAGGGTATATACCTAGTAATGGGATGGCTGGGTCAAATGGTATTTCTAATTTTCAGGATAGATCTTGAAACATTCTTTGTGATGATGAATGGAACACCATTCCTCTTCAATTTGCTATTCCCAGCATAGTAGCTCATATCGTTGTCTGATTCAAAATGGCCAAAACCAGTCCATTTCAGCTCACTGATACCTCGGATATTGATCTTTATGTGTTCCTTTCATTTTTTGACAACTTCCAATTCTCCTAGATTCATACTTTCCAGGTTCTGATTATTAATTGATGTTTGCAGGAGTTTTTTTCTCATCTTGAGTCGTGCCACATCAGCAAATGGAGGTCTCAAAAGCTTTACTCTATCCACTTCATTGAGGTCTTCATTAAGGTCAGAAAAGGAGCCAGCTTTTCCCCAGGCATATTTTGAGTGCCTTTCGACCCAAGGGGCTCATCTTCTGGCACCATGGTGGACAATGTTACAGGGCTCCTCATAAAGTTTTCCAGTACTATTTCAGAGAGTGTTTCACTGCTATTCATACGGTTTTCACTGGCCAATTGTTTGAGAAGTAGACGGCCTCTTCCTTCTTCCGAGTCTGTCTTAATCTGGAAGCTCCACTGAAACCTGTCCACCATGGGTGAACCCGCTTTAGAGCCAGACAAATGCAGATTTGAATTTTGGCCATGGCACTTAGTAGCTGTGTGGCCTTAGACAGGTCAGTTCATCTGACTAAGCATCAGTTTTCTCATCTGTGAAATAGGAATAATCAGAGGACTAGTAATACCTCCCTGGTAGGATTGTTAAACAGCTCTGATGGCACAGTAGTTTAAGCATTCAGCTGCTATTCAAACGGTCAGAGGTTTGAACCTACCAGCTGCTTGACAGGAGAAAGATGAGGCAGTCTGCTTTTGTAAAGATTTACAGCCTTGGAAACCCTATGGGCCAGTTACACCCTGTCCTATAGGGTCATCAGGAGTTGGAATCAACTGAATAGCAGTGGGTTTGGGTTTGAGTGATAGGATTGTTGTGATGATTAAACAATATAAAACATCTGAAATACTGACTGGCACAAGATCAACAAATGGTAATTACTGTTTTTTTAAAAAATTATAAAAAAACCCTACTTGATTAAAGTTGCCCTGCTAGGAAGAAGCAGAAACAAGTTTCCCCATTCAGAGATGGTGTTGTTTGGGGCTGTCAGGTCAATTTTTGACTATATAGCAACCCCCATGACAGAGAAGAAATGCTCCGTAGGGTTTTCTATGATGTAATCTTTATAGGAGTAGATCATCAGGGCTTTCTCCTGTGGAACCACTGAGTGGGTCTGAACTGGCAACCTTCTGGTTAGCAGTAGAGGGCTTAACTGCTGCACCACCAGGGCTCCTTCCATCCAGAGGATGGCCCACTTTATCACATTTTCTCCTTGAAAATGGCTGACTTTAGCCACCAGGTTGGTGGGAAGGGCTGAGGTAAAACAATATTTAATTGCAATCTTTTATCCCATTTTCTCCCTACAGTTTGCAAGGCAGGTGAGGTTTTGTGAGGGAATCAATAAGGTTCTCACCGAATCGGCCCACTGGCCCGGGAGCTCGTTCTCTCCTGCATAGGACATCCAGGCCTGGTTCCTGTAGGACGAGGGAGGTGTTGGGATGAAGTAGCCAGTGAAGCCAGGTCTGTTGGCAGCTGGGATGGCAAACACTGCCGGCACCGTATTACCTGGCATGGTGGAGATAGATGGGGGCAGATTAGGAGAGGCTCATCTCTGGGATCCAGCCACTTAAGTGCTGAACAAAGGCTTCCTGACTGTCAGCTGTATTTGAAGTCAATTCTGAGTTGAGAGGGGCTTGCTCTGGCTGAAACATTTGCTGGGAGATATGGCTCCATTTAAGTTGGGATGGACCCTGGCCATGATGGCTGAGACCTTGGGTAGTTTAGCAACAGTGAGGAGGCTGGAATGTGGAGGAGGGAACCTGGCCTCCCTTCTTCATGGAACTCTTCCATAGCTGCTGTGTATACCTGGGTAGTATACTTCCCAAGGGCATCTGGCCTTCCAGGAGCCAAAGAGGGCTAAAATCTAGCCTCTGTTCTCCTTGCATTCACCCATAGAAAGGGAAGCCTTTTACGAATTTCACCAAAATGCAGCATGGGCTACTAGTTTCCAGAAATTTTTCCATCCTCCTATCCCCCTAAAGAGGGAGATGTGGGCCCAGCAAGCATCCCACCCAGTAAGCCTACATCTCCATAAGTTGAAGGAGGGGAGGACTCAGCACTGGTCCCAGCCGGGGGATGAGAGGAGAAAGCCCTTGGGGTGGGCAGCACTCTAGATGTTGACTTCCACCTGGAGCCCTAGCCCTGCTCACCAGCCAGTTAGTGTGGAGGGCATCATCTGCTGCAGGTCAGACCTAACTTAGGTCAGTCTGGCTGTCTAGAGAAGTGATGACTCAGCTCCCCTCCCTCCCATAATAGCCCTGACCTGCTGGGTAGAGGAAATGACCCCTCCGTGTCCAGGTGTTTTCCTCCAGGAGAATGGGTATTTTTCAGCCAAGGAAAGAGCCAAAGGAAGGAATTTCACTGCTAGAATTTCTGGACACAATCAATGCTTTAATAATATTGACAACTGGGTGCTTGCCAGTTGCCAACCTTTTAGGAATGGTTTGAATGAACTGAAAAACAAATTAGGACATGCATATAATGGAGTATTTGTGATGGTTATGTCTGCATGTTAACTTGGCTGGGCCTGGTTGAGTGGCTGGGCAGCTGGTGGTAGTTATTCCCCATGATGAGACTGGCAATCAACTCCATGGTGGAATCTACTATGAGCAGCTCAGTAGCTGCCTTTGGGTATGTGGTCTGCTTCCTGTATATAAGGAGAAGCTTTGAGAATGGTCTCTAGCCTATGGCACGCTTGGACCCTGCATGTAGCCATGCTGTTGCTCAGCAGTCTGCTATGCTCTGCCGACCTTGGGACTTACAATGGACTTAAGTTATTGGCCTGCTGTGTGGTTTGGTCATATCAGGACTGTGCCTTTTCACTTGTCAACCTTGGGGCTTCTCAGCCTCAGCAGCCAGCAGCTGCCTGAGTAAAGAAATGCCTCTAGCTCCAGGGGGTCGGGAGCAGGAGGCAGAGCTGGACCCCAAGTCTGAGGGGCTTTCACCCAGCCACTAGAGCCTGCCACTTGAACTTGGACTTAAAGCCTCCAAATTGTAAGAATAAACTCCTGTTTGTTAAAGCCATCCCATTTGTGGTATATTTTTTGTCAGAGTGGCACTAGGTAACCACAACAATATTATTCAGTCATAAAGAGGAATGAGGTATTGATACATGCTGTAACTTACATGAACTTTCAAAACATCACACTAAGTGAAAGAAAACAGACACAAAGGTCATATATTGTATGATTCCATTTAAAGGAAACATCCAGAATAGGTAAATCCATAGAGATGGAGAGCAGACTAGTTGACAAGGGGCTGGTGGGGGTGGGGACCAGGCATGGGAATGATTGCTTAATGGTTATGGGGTTTCCTTCTGGGGTGATGAAAATGTCTCGGAAATATATAGAGGTGATGGATACACAACATTATGAATATATGTATGAAATGCTACTGAATTGTGCACTTAAAAATTAATGGTTAATTTTACATCGTCTTAATTTTACTTCAATAAAAATAATTAGAGCATGTACAAACCAAACCACAATGTTTATTTCAGCATGGTTTGTAATACCCCCAAATTGGAAACCCCTAATATATCCATTTGTTGGAGAATAGATAAACTGTGGCATATTCATATAGCATTCTTTATGGTGGTTTAAATGAATTAACTAGATCTGTACATAGCAACAGGGGAAAATCTTGAAAACAATGTTAAACCAAGAAAACGAATTGCAAAAGAAAATGTGTAGTGTGATATCACTTATGTAAATTTAAAATAACCAAAATAATATACTTTATATATGTGTGTGTGGGTATATATACATATATGTGTATGTACACACACACATATGGCAAAAGGTTAAAACCCATGACTTGAGAACGATAATTACTTCTGAGGGAGAAGGAGGGAAATGAGGTAGGGGTGGATGGCTATAACTGTAACGCTTCCAAAAACGTAATTTTAAAAAGATCTGAGATCTGGCAAACTGTTAACATATCCTAACTCAGTGTATCGTAACATTTTGTCAGGTTTCAGATCTTTTTAAGAAATAAAACCAGTAGCTCTACTAGTTAGGGCTACTGAAGTCATCAGGGGATCCGGAGACGCCGTGGATTTGGTGCCTGGGGGTGGAAGGACCCCGCTGCAGAGTGGATTGGGCGGGGGAGGGGCAAGGCGACAGCAGCAGGGGCTGGGCTGGGGTACCGCTCAGGCTTTTTTCAGGCTCTTTTCCTCGTTCTCCCACCTGAGTAATTTAACGCCGACTGATCCAACTGCGCCACGGACACGGGGCCTCTGGACACCTGGGCGAAGGAGGCGCTGTCGTGCAACTGGGCCGGCTCGGGCCCCGCGGACTCGGCCATTCTCGTCTTGCTGCCGATGTCCGAGGTGGATCTGGGCAGGGCACAGCACAGGGACTTTGTTAGCTGCTTCCCGCAGATGTCCCGGCGGGGGCGGGCAGGGCAGGAGGAGTGGGCAGAAGTTCCCACCTGTCCACCGACTGGGTCCTCAGGGCTGGATTTGCTCCAAAACAATAAAGAGCTTTTCTGGGTGAGCCAACACGACTGGAGGCGCCCAGGCAAGTAGCAACCCTCGTGGTGGCCCAGGTTGGAGTAATTTTTAGATATTCAAGGTCAGTTCTCCCCTAAGGATAGCTTTACTGTCTCTGGGTAGTAGAATATTTAATTTCCACATAAAAATAAGCAAAGCAATTAGTGCTGGGTATTAGCTAGGGATGGTCGACCCAGGACGTGATGACATCATTGGCAGCCAATGAGAAGGCTGGGTCTGCAGCAGGCGGACTACTCCGGCTTCTGACACCAGCACGAGTTACCCGGGAAGCTGGGATCAAATGCGCTGCTTCTAGGATCAGGAAAGGAGCTCTAGTGGCGTGGTGCCTAAGGCATTTGACTGCTAACCAGAAGCGTGGTGGTAGCGATCTACTTCCCTAGAGATACCGCCTGGGAAACCCAAAGAGGGGTCTTTAAGCATGATGGCCAAGACTCTAGGAAGCTCGGGTTGCTCTAGGAGGCGGGAGCCTAGCTTTCTCCGCATTGTGAACGAGAACACATCTCCCAGGCAGCCAGAGAATCGGGCCCTTTAAAGCAGCATGTTTGCACTTAGAGCTCAGAAAGCCTCGTATGGAGTCGGAGAGCAGCCTGGTTTCCGCAGACGCCCTCCTCTCCCCCTTTTATAAAGAGTGCTTCAGGCTCTGTTCCAGTGCAGGCATCATCCTTTGCCTGAGGCAGTCTCACAGGGGGACCTCAGGCTCCCCTAAAATTAAAAGAGGAGAGAGGCAAAGACGACTGCTCAGGTGGGCAGGCTGCCAGCCCAGAGAGCCACTCTGAGCCGGAGTGGCTGTCACAGGAAAGAGCAGAATAGAGCCACAGCAAGGGAACGGGGTGGGAGGCAGAGTGCTGGGTTCCAGTGACTTCCCCTCTCTGAGCCTGTTTCCTTGTCTATAAAACAAAAGGGGTGAGTGAGCTCAGCTGTCGGGTTCCTTCTTGGTCTGGGTCTCTATGTTTATAAGGAAGGCTAAACCCCAACCAGAGATCTGATATTTGGCAAGGATGGTAGAAGCTGTGGAAGGGCATGGAGGAGGCGGTGGTTGTAGAATAAATACCAAAAATGGATGCTATAAAAGCTACTCTATGCCAGAATTCTCAGGAGTACCGCCAGAACAGTAGGGACTGTTCCCACAGAGGGTCAGACACAGAGGCTGTGAAGATTTGGCTATCAGTGTATGTGACAGGCTCAGTGTGAGGCCTTCCCCTCTCCCTTCTTGACTCCCTGCTCCCCTTGTGCATCTACTACTGGTTCAGAAAACTCCCAGGAGAAGCCCTGGGTTTAGGCTCCATGTACTTGGCCCCTTTCTGAGGAGTCCTAGAGCTTTTGAGATCATTTAGGCCACTGCTCTCATTTTACAGATAAGGAACAGGGGCCAGAGAGGCATGGCAACTTAACTGAAGTCACATAGCCAGTTGCTGGCAGATTAGGGAGTGGAGCCTTGGTCCACTGGGATCTGCCAGGACTGATGGATGGTGTCTACACATAGCTCCACATTCTAAACTACTGGGAACAAGGTCAGGGTGTTTTTGGAGGGAAATTTATATCTTCCTCCCTGTTCTCATAAAGTCCAGACCTGTGGTCCACAGATAGCATGTGACTGTTGGGGGGAGGCTGGGGAGTGGAGGGCCAGGGCTCAGCTGTTTCTCCCAACCCTGGACATGAAGACTATGCCAACATGGCTTTTGTATTTCTTTTCTATTTTCAGAAAATGTGTGCTTTCTGGGGTGGGACAGAGCAAAGAGAATTTAAAGCATATGCTTCCTAATTGGCAGATCTGAGCTCATGTGTTTTCAGCCTCTGCAAGTCAGGAGTTGGAGGTGGGAGTCTGGACATGCTTCTCCCAGGCCTCCTGGATACCACCCTTAAATAAGAAAGGGACTTTAGCTGTGCAAGCACAGGAGGAGGCATCCGGGCTGGTAGAAGCTGCTATCGTGGTTCAGGATGGAGTAATTTTTAGACGTCCAAGGTCAGAGTATGGGGCTTTCAGGGTATGGGACAATTGACCTTGGTTTTCTTTAACTTTGGACCCCTAAAGGAGATCTGGTGGTGTAGTGCCTAAGGCATTTGACTGCTAACCAGAAGGCTGGAGGTTCAAACCTACCAGCCACTCTGCTGAAGGAAGACTGATCAATCTACTTCCGTAAAGATTTACCATTTTGGAAAGACAAAGGGGATCTGAAGAACTCTCTATTTTAAAAAATGTGAAAGTTGTCAACCCTCTGTGGCTCCCACTTCCCTCATGGCACTTGGACTGCCCTAGGCATGCAATTGTCTATACAGCTGATGAACTCAAAGAGAGTAGGGCATTTGCTACAGCAATTGTCAGGCCAGGGTCCACAGGGCCAAATCCTTTCCAAATATTCCAAATAAAGCAAAGAAAGGAATGTGTTACCGCCTGAGAGAAGCGACAGCCACAGGACCTGTCCTGGGAGGTACAGGTGGAGGAGGTGAGCCCATGACCATTTCAGGAAGCTGGGAAAATCTGAAGGCCTGTTGAAAGAGACAAGCAGAGGAGGAGTTGGTAAAACCCAGTGCCCATCTACATGTAAATTCTTATTTAAGGGGAAGCAGGCTGCCAAGGTTCAGACTTTCATTTCATCAACATTTTTTCTTAGATCTTCCTTATGTGGTCTCCAACCACTTCTCCCACCTCATCTCCCACAGCTCTGCCTTTCGCTCATACCATATTGGTCCCCAGTTGATAGCATTCCCAGGTTCAAAGTCATAAAGCCCTTCAACGGTTCTTAGGACATGCTCAGCTCTTTCCTGCCTTGGGTTTTGGTATTTGGTCCTCCTTCCACCTGGAATGCTTTTCTCTCAGTTCTTCATATGGCTTCTTCCTTCATTTCATTCATTCAGCACATACTCCCTTAAACCTCTGTTTTATTTGCCATCATAGCATCTGTCACTCTAACATTATGTTGTTGTTTATTTATTTATTTTATCTGTCACCAACTACAATGTAATTCTCATGCCTAGAACAGTGAATAGCATATAACAGATGCTTGATAAATATTAGGAATCAATGACTGAACCATTGATTGTATTTTACTTTCTTACTCATGGAAAGCAGGGTTAGCAGGGAAAGCAATGGATTTGGAGTCAGGAGATATAAGTGGAAGTCCTGGTTTGCTGATGAATACACTTCATGGTGACCTCTCTTGGCCTCAATGTCCTCTTCTGAAATGGGGACAACAATATCTTACTCAGAAAGGTGCTGAGAAGATCAGGTAAGTCAGTGAATGTGTAAGCATTTTGCTATCTGTAAAGCACTATGTAAAGATAAGGAGTAGGAACTGTCACAAAAGTGAAGACTATCAAGATGTGAGGGGATAAAAGGGAAGGGGCAGAGATGGACAGGATTAGAGAGCCAGGCCACAGGTCCTGTAGCAAGAAAATAAAATAAAATAAAAATCGAGAAACATCTCTGTGATGACAGAGCTTAACTTGTGCTTTTCATCCATTTCTTTCTTTAGACATCATGTCTATCAGATCTCTCAAGGAGCAAGATGACAAGACTTCAAGCTCAAAGACACAAGGACAAAAAGCAGCAGCACAGGGAATTCATAAACAGGATTCTTTAAACTGAATGAGTCTTCCCTATGACATTATGGCAGACTACATACTCCTAAGGGTCAACCCACTAAATAACAGATAGATCCCAGCTAAAATATACTTTTAAATGCATTGTGGGAAGAGCAAAATGTAAGAGCAACCTCCAAGGACCCTCTCTAGTCCCCTCTATGTTGTTGTTGTTGTTATGTGCCGTCGAGTCAAACCCGACTCATAGCGACCCCTCCTTGGGTTTCCGAGGCAGTATCACTACGGAAGTAGGA